TGAATCTGGATATAGATAGGATAGCGGAAATGAATTAGTCATTCGAATAAATGACTGTGTAAGGTGTTGTTTTCATTGGAGAAAGCCATCAACATTTAATCCATTGGCCTTTAGCCCTTCAAGAGTCATGTTTCCGAGAAGTACTTGTTTAAATGTGGAAAACTTGGACTGATTTCCACTGCAATGAGTCATCGGAGAGGTGTAATCATTTACGCCAGTGCCATCGGGCTTCTGAAGCTTTCGACCGACGCATCAATCCCACAGACAATGTGGGCCAAACAAACGAGCTAAAATTAACGTCCAAGGTGGAATTAATACCAATAGACGGTGGACCAAGGTGCACCGCATTCATCATGGCCACATTTTAAAACTGCCTGCAACTTTGTTGAATACACTTTTAACAACTATTCATGTACAACGAACAAACACGGGTCACCTTGACCAAAAATTATAAAATAATGTAAGCCGTCGCCTGTTACTGAGACTCTGAAACTCAGTGCTGCCTGTCACATGGTCGGCAAATCGGCCCCACTAAACCGCCTCTCCCGCTACTACGCCTTGCCGAGTGGGGAGGAGGAGGGTGTCTGGCCATCCATATGAGATAAAATGAGCCAGCGGACCAACACGGTGAGAATGAGCTCGTCATGAGCCAACAGCCGTCCACACCCACTGAGATGCCAGTGATGACAATGAAAAATAAACAACCCACCTACCATCTTAATTATGGAGCTTTCGTGACTGCAGGAATTATTCTTGTATGTCTGTCTATAGTTTTCTAGTTAGATTTTTTGTTGCTATCTCTTTTTTTTGCCTGATGATGATTGCTTGTGTTGCAATCGAAACGTCGTAATATGCTTTTATTTTAATTTATTATTTTATCTTTAGACGTGACTTAACCGAAAGAACCAAAGAATAACCCACCTCCAATTTTTCGATTTAAATCTTTCGTGACTGCAGGGATTCATCTTCTTGGTTTTTCGGTAAAGTCACGTAGAAGGGAAATAATAAAATAATAAAAATAAAATAAAGCATAATTAAATAAATAATTGTTTTATTATGTTTTATTATTTATTATTTTATTACTTCCCTTCTACGTGACTTTACCGAAAGAACCAAAAAGATGAACCCACCTCCACAAAAGAATATCCTGATAATCCAAAGAGGCCTGGAATCTCAGAGTCGGAAAAATTCCATACGGTGACAGGGAAGACACGACAGAGAAATGTCGTCTGGGACACACAAATAAGCAAGGTCTAAGACACTTAGGAAACTATATTTGTTGAATTCCTTAGAGGAGGAGAAATTATAATTGAAATTCTGTGCAGAATCTGCAAGGCCATCTGGCAGTCTGGCAATTGGCCAATGCAATGGTCCAAATGTGTAATGATACCGATACTTGAAAACAAGAAATATCATACAATGTAAATATAACCATTTATTTATTTATTTCTACTATGTTTAAAAAGGTGTCAACCCACAGGTAGAAAGAAGCCTTTTTATAGGAAGAAGAGGCAGGTGTCAGGGCTGGAGGAAGTACAGCAGAACACATTTTCAACCTTTGAGAAATATAATGAACATCAGAAAGACCTCCATCATATTTTTATTGATTAAAAAAAAGCATTCGATCACATATGACAATAAGGTCTCGTGGGTGCGGGGTTATGAAGACGTTTAATCGTCCAAGTAAAATAATAGCTGTAGAATCATTATACAACAGTACAATGGGTGGAGATCTGATGTACCATGCTTTTAGTGAGTCGTTCCACAAACGACAGGGTTGTCCGTTATGACCATGCATATATATCGTGTATTTAGAACGCGATGTCAGACACGCGTAAATCGTTTGACAGTTCTGTACCATTCAGAGAATGATTGATCTGCAATCTTAGATTCGCAGATGACATTGATCTGATTGCAAATTCAGCAGAAGGATGGCAGGTCTATGAAGTTACCCTTGACAGGGTGGCAACATCATATGGTATTGTAATTAGTGGCGAGAAAAGCCAGGCGATGCCCCGGTAGGAGAGGACATATATGTAAGGAGAGAAAAAACATGATTAAGGGAACTCCTTTAAACATTTCGGAGCAAACTTCAAGGAAGACAGAAGATCGAAGAATGAGGCTGAGACCAGATTGGTCATTGCAACAGGAATGTTACAAAGCACAAGGATATGGGAAGACAAAGATGCATTTCTGCAGTCCAACATTAATCTACTACAAATAAGGTTAATCGCTATGGTATTACCGTATGTGTCTCTGAATCTTGGACACTGATAAGCGACATCTGACAGGGGATTCAGGATTTTTGAGATGTGGTGTTCCTAAGACTGATTTGAATGCAATAGGCTTACTTGTACAAATTAGTCAATTCGTGTTAACATGACTAAAGAGCTTAAGTTGATCTTGTTTAACCAGGTGAGAACGCAAGAGGCCAGAATAGTCTCCACTGCAAGAGTGACCCGGGGAATTAGTCTGCCAGTATGGGCCACGATTGTATGATTTGGGATTACACATGCTCTTGCGAATGACGCCAATGGATCTTGAACGTCCACTGTGAAGTAGACGCCGCGTAGTATTATTATTATCACTACAGTTAGTACATGCGCGGTAATAACCAGGGTGGTCGCACGGATTCAAACCGTGAACCTCTGCAACAAGCGGCGAAGGCGCGGCCGCTGGGTTATCCCTCCACTCCAGGGGCGGTTTCTTCATTAGGGCGATTGGGCGACGCACCACCAATGTCATTCAACCACAGAGTCACGCTAGCCGTCACTGTGCCTCTGGATATAGTCCAATCAGCGTCATGTCACGTTCTGTGGAGTACCGCCTCTGTTTGGGCGATTTCACTCCGGCTGAGAATCGCCCCGAGTGGCCCCATAGACTTACATTCAAAGATGTTTTTTTTCGAACGGGGGCGCTGCAAAGCATTCTTTATGACTTCCGGGAGGGCTCGCCCTAACGTGCTTACGTCATCATACGTAAGCACGTTTCATCCAACAATATAATTTGTCGCCACCTAGTGGAATCTTTAATAAAAGAAACTTGAGTGGATTCTATTAATAGTGAGTATAGAAGCAAACAAGGAGATGTATTGTAAGAGTCACTTTATTTTTCATTAATATTAAAGAAGTGAAGTTACCTTTACATGCTTAAGCTGTTAATGTATCCATTGCATGGGTGGACCTTATCCTTATCAATCATCCAGACATTTGCCCCCCCCCCCTGAGAGATTTTGCAGGAGCCGCCACTGATCCACTCTCACACATCCGATGAGCACGTTTGGCCACGTACGGTGCGAAAGAAGTGCAACATGCGTAGGGGATTCACTTTCTCACACGTCCCGCTACGCGGAAATATTTCATCGTACGGCAGTCAGTCAAACCAATAATTTACATTCTCGGTGACGGATGTTTTACTGCTCGATAAAAAAAAAATTGTAACAAAAATATAGTACTATACTCTCTGGTTCTTTCGGTAAAGTCACGTAGATAGAAAAGAGAATAAAAGAACACGACGTTTCTGTCGCAAAACAAGCGTCCGTCATCAGGTGAGAAAGAATGGTCTGCTGTTGTGGCTTTATATAGGCACGGGGGGGGGGGGGGGAGGGGGGGGGTTTGTAGAGTCGTGGCTGCAGGAGTTCACGGGGGGGGAGAGGGGGGAGGGTTTGTGGCGTGCAGGGACGGGCGGGGGCTGGAGAAATTAGCATGTCAATGAGCTTGAATAAGTAAACGAAAACAGCACGGGTGTAAGAGTGAGAATCACAGCAGTTAAAACTTGACGTGGTGTATCACGTCCTTCCAATGATTGCTCAATCTGCAATATACTTCCTGCCGTTAAGAAATGTTTTTATTACGCACTTTACACACAATTTGCATGATCCATGTTCTTGTTTTTTTTTTGATCCGGGCCACCCACCCCTGCCCTGCAGTGCCGGATTAAGCTAGGGTGGGGCCTGTAGCACATGTTGTAAAGGGGCCCTAAATAAAATAAAATAAAACACAAATATTAAAACAAATGTTTAACTTGCACAGTAAAGTAATTGTATTTTTTCATTTGCTATACAGCCAGATAAAACGACAAATCGCAAACCTTAAACAGCCAGTCGTTCATAAAAGTTGAAGGCAGTATAGTACTTGAGTAATAGAGCAAGTGCAGAATCACTAAACCGGAATGGATAGCTTGAAAGCATTTAGCGCGGGGCCCTTGAAAGTGCGGGGCGTCGAGGCATATGTAGCTATATTCTTTGGGTTTTTCGGTGAAGTCACGTAGATAGGTTCAAAGAAAATAAAAAAAAATAACAAAAAACTACGACGTTTCGATCACAACACAAGTGAACGTCATCAGGAGGATGTCGAAACGTCGCAGTTTTTTTGTTCGTTATTTTTTTGTTATTTGTGCAGTTTATATTAATCCCACGTTTGTAATGGGACCCGAATGCAGAGTGCAGTGACTTCACACGGAAACCTCTCTTATTCTTTGTGTAAAGTTACGTAGATAGGTTCAAATAAATAAAAACTAAAATTAATTTGAACCTATCTACTTGGCTTTACCGAAAGACCCAAAGAACATGAATTCCTGCAGTCACGAAAGCTTTCAAGTCAAGATTCATACGTAGCTAACTCTGTTGCTGTCCACCGGTGCCCTGCCATTCTTCCCCAGGAAGTCGCGCGTTCACCCGCGTGCCCACTCAACCCCAAAGCAGAGGTCGCAACCGGGTACCCGATACCCGTACCTTACCCGATACCCGGCTACCCGTACCCGGCCGGGTACGGGTACGGGTAGCCGTTTGCGACCCTGGTGCGGCCAAGTACGGGTAGGCCGTGAGTCACTGGTGAGTAACCGTTTGTCACTCATTTCGGGTAGGGTACGGGTACGGGTAGGGAACGGGAACCCGTACCTGGCCGGTACCCATTTGCGACCCTGGTGCGGCCGGGTACAGGTAAGGAATCAAAACCCGTTTGCGACCTCTGCCCCAACGCCGACGCTGCCGACGACCTCACCTGTGGCACGCACTTGATGTGGTCCAGCAGCAGCTGCACGGCGCCTATCGCCTCCTTGCGGATGGCGTGCAGGAGCGCGTCCCACGCCGACAGCTTGTAGCTCAGCAGCAACTCGACGATCTCCAGGTTGTCGTTGTCGATGGCGAGCAGCAGCGCGCTGCGCCCCAGCGGGTCCAGGCAGTTGACGTCGATGTGACCGTAGACCGACACGTCGTCCAGCGCCCGCTTCACCGTGCAGTAGTCGCCGCTCTCGACGGCCGCCAGGAAGGCCCGCTCGGCCGGTGAGAGGCCCGCCTCGGCGCGCACGATGCGCAGGGGGATGCGGTCGCGGCGTTGTTCGCTCGCGCCCGCGCGTCTGTAGTAGGACTGGGCCATATGTCCGGAGGCCACCCGCCTGCGTGGCGACATTCGGGGGGGGGGGGTGGGGGGAGAAATGTTCGCAGTAAGAATTCGCCCCCAACTGCCGCGTGGCTACTGCGAGATGTTTAGATGTTTACTACCTCGCCTGGTCTACAGGAGGTCGTGGGTTCGATTCCGACCCTTGACGCCTGCTGCTGTATATTTGGAGTTTGCATCTCTCTCTCTCTCATCATCACTGTGGCTAGGAGATGTTAACTACCTCGCCTGGTCTGCAGGAGGTCGTGAGTTAGATCCTGACCCTTGACGCCTGCTGTGTATTTGGAGTTTGCGTATCTCTCTCTCATCATCACCGTGGCTAGGAGATGTTAACTACCTCGCCTGGTGTACAGGAAGTCGTGGGTTCAATCCCGACCCTTGACGCCTGCTGTATATTTTGGAGTTTGCATGTGTCTCTTTTCGTGGTTGCGTGAATTTTTCTCCAGGTTCTCCGGGTTTTTCTCCACATTTATAAACATGCGTTTAGAACATTTGGCTGCTATACATTTCCAGGTGATAAGCCACTTCGTTGATCGATACATTTTCACCAGGAAAAAGAGCTATATAGCTCAGTTGCCCTTATCTGGTAAAATAAAAATAGTAAATAGTTTCTGCCCGTGATACATATCGCGTCTTCATGATGGTTGCCCTGTGCTTTAACAGCGGAGCGAACACCACATTTTACTCACGCTGATCTTCATGACATAAGCAAACGATTGTGTTGACTGGGTGATAACCGAGTCACTAATTACTGTGTCAGTGGTAAGGCAAAGCAGGTATTGTACGAGGTGAGTGGTGGCCGGATGGCGGGACGGAAATGGATTTTAGAATCCGTTTGGAGCTTTGAGTGTTACCCTGGTCGTATGTGTAGCAAAAGACCAAGAGGAACCACCACCCGGTCAGCACTAAGGCGACGCGGGTACAAGATGCCGAGAGGTGACCAGAAGATGACACGAACAGCAACGGACTTCGCAATGTGACCGTGCGAAGCTTGGAGTTGTACCTCCGTCTCGAACGTGTGCGGCTTTTTGCTTTCTGCAGGACACTCTGGTTTACTCCCACACGTCCCAACGCGCATGCATCGAATTAGCCAAGGGCCCTGCTGGAAGCGACGTCTCGAGACACGGCAGGTAAATAAAACACGGGGCAACGACGCTCACTGCCAACGGCACACACTGCGCTCGGCATGGGCGGGTTCCGAGGACGCTCCAACTTACAACCCAGTCCGTGTAGATGTTGACTGTGCAGACTGTGCAATTGCATCTGGCCCCGTGGGTCGGGGGGGGCCCAGGGTGCTGAGCTACATAGAGGGGACCTCCACCCCCCCCGCCCCCGTTTCATTGCCTGCACAAGGGCCCATCCCGGCTACGGGACGGCACCGATTGCACGCATGAAGATGCGGTTGACGCGTACGAGCAGGTCACTGCAGTCGGGCATGGTGATGATGTACACCTGTAGCCCTGTGTGCGATCACGTGTGCACCTAGGGGCTGTGTGATGAATGGAACCAGTCAGCCTGCGGCCGCGTCTGCGGCACCAAAGCTGTTATGCCCCTGCCTGCTGCACGTATTTCATTCTGTGCTTTTATTACCTTGACTCAACAGGGAAGTTTAACCTGTGTAGGCCCCCTCCCTTCCTCCTTAGGCCCCCAGGCCCTTCCTCCGTAGCTGCAATAGGGGCGCCGCGGTGGCGAGATATTAACTACCTCGCCTGGTTGTGCGGTCGGTCGTGGATTCGATCCCAACCTTGACGCCTGCTGTATATTTGGAGTTTGCGTGTTCTCTCCGTCGTCCCGCGGATTTTTCTCCGGGTCCTTTTTATTAACATGGGCTTAAGAGTTATAAATGCCCACGCGACGAGCCCCTTCGTTGAGCTATCATTTGTGGCCAAGACTTTATCATGGGGTGGATTTTTCTTACCGAATCCTTTTTTTTTCCACGAGTCACAGCAGGATGTACAGCAAGTAGGTTGCGTAATCCATCTGTGCGTAGCTTGGGTGATATTTCCGTCAGTGTGTGGGTTTTCTACACAGGCGTATGTGTCCTCTTGTGTGAAACGACGCTTCTTTCCCGCACCTACTGGACATCTGTGAAAAAGAGCTTCATAGCTCATCGGATTGCTCCAGTATAAATAAATATTCGGATTAAAATGGAGTTAGCCGGACATCTCAAATGGGGCCGTCTCAAAACGGTGCTGTACTTAGACTCAACCCGATAAAACATGCATTTTGAAAAGAGTGATTTTATGCAAATATTGATTTGCACGCAACATACGTACAGCACACCACGATTACAAATGTATGTACAGGGTGCTTCAAATTTTGTTCAACACTTCTGAGAATTTGCAACAATATCGCAAGAAATGTGCCTCCGGGCTCTGGAGACCACCTGGAGAAGATTCCAGGCGTGTGTTGACAATTCTGGCGTACAAGTGGGAGACTTTTGAAGTGTATTATTCGTTACTTTTCCCATTAAAATCGATAGTCCCATTTAAGTGTTAACATTTTTTTAAGCACCCTGTATATAGTTTTCATCTTGCCCTGACCAGCGTGGTGAAATATGCTGGGTCAGTGTATATAGGCACATTACATAAGTTTCACGACTGCATAAGAAAACACTTTATTTATGCGAGCCTCGTTAATAGCATCTACAGAATAGATTAGCAATGATTATGCGCGTACTGTATTTCCCATTTAATTTGCCTCAATTCAGTTCAAATGAATCCCATACCATATCGTCTGGTCTAACCCGCTGCAGTTCACTTGAGCAAAATTCAGTTCCGCTTGCGTTGACTTATCTCTGTAATGGAATTATAAAGTGACCCTGTGAAAAATTAGCGTCTCCACGAGGTCATTTACGGATTCAAAATGAGAAATACAGCGCTGATAAGTCGTCTATAAATACTCGTGTTGTCATGGTGCATTGTAACTGCAAAGTCACACAGGGGCGAGTATTGCACTCTGTCTTAATTGGTTAAATATATTATATTTCATCACTGGTCACACCCGTCTTGGAGAATAAGGGACACACATGCCACGGTAACCCTGTCGGAAGCAGTGCAATGAGTTCCGTATTTTACAAACGCCTGCCAGGTTCAAAATTACTGCGGCGTATGCGACTACCTGGTCGCTATCAATCACACGCTGATGACGACCGGCTCTCGTTGACAAGCAATTGGAAAGTTTCGCGAAAAACCTGGGAGAGATTGTAAAACGTATCACTCCCCTACCCAGAGGACCAGCACGCCTGTAAATACGTTTCGTGATATACGAGGGGCTGCTTTTAGAGTTTTCAACAGCGAGACGGGAAACAAAACCGTGCTCACAAAATGTTAGATTTAGACGAGTGTCGAAGAACATTCTTTGCAATGGCTGTTTGTATAGAACGACTCGTAACTTCCACGGGAATGTGGAATTCCCACCTCTTGCTCAGGGCTGTAAGAAGTATATGGGTATTGTACTACATCGTGCTCAATTAAGCCAGGGACCACATGGGCTTATTTTAGTTTCTAGATTAAAAATATACATATTTCTTGGAAACGTATGTTTACTGCATTTGACCAAATTGCACAGGCAGTGCTTGAACTCGCCAGATTTCGGTAGCTAATTAGCGCTGAGCCGAAATTGTATTTGTGGCGGGTGGACAAAACGTGCAATAAAATGTTCATTGGCAGCAGCGAGGCGTGGTGGGTTGTGCAGATAAATAAATTGAATTGTACTTCTATGCTCCCACGTCTCTCCTCCTCACCATTCCAACTGCCTTGCATGTCAAGGGCTGTCATGTGTTTTAAGCCCTCCCTGTAGATAGATGACCTTCATTAATAACCAGCTGAGAGCACACTAAACCCAGGAGCTTTCTTTTTGCAAGGGTTTTAATAAATGCAGCAACCATCGGCACGCATTGCAATGTGTAAACAAAACCATGCATTTTAAAACGTAATTAAGAACTGATTAATTGCTTTTTGAGTGCTCTCAAAACCATTCCTAGAAAATGTGTAAACGGTAATTTTTTTCTTTTACTGTGGTTCGTCAAACCACTGACTCGGTCGATGAACACCTCCCTATGCTGGTGGTGACCTCCGGGATTGTTTTACCCGAGCCCACCACACTGGTCAGTGCAGCCTACTGAAGGGGGAACCCAGAACCCGCTTCAGATATCACTCACCACTGATGTTATCTGGGGCCAGCAATCGAACTCAGGCAGGGTCCACATGAAGGCAACGCTTATTCAATAGAATGGGCAGATTGAGCTGCGTGTCTCTATGACGAATCTCTTGGGCACCGCACGTAGCCAACCAATGCCAATCGGAGGTGAAACGTGTTACTCGCATTCTTAAGTTAATGGAACAAATAATAATCGTGAGAGATCTTTAACAGCACAAGAGAAGCGGTAAAAACAATCACAGCTGAGATGCTTGGCGATCACATGGGATTCTTTGAAATCTCGATGCAATGTGTGTTGCCAATACCATCAGACGTTTAGAGGGATGATACTCACCATCTTCAAATAACCAAGTGTGTGGACGTGCATGTGCATAATGTGTGCGGGGAGCGGTGGTGCAGCGGTTAGCGCGCTGTGCTACGAACCCGCCGACCCGAGTTCGAATTCCGCTCACGGCCAACATAGGTGACGAATATCCGAACCGGTTCTGGGCCTCCCCTAGGTCGACGCAGCCTCAAATGAGTACCTGGTGCGGTGTGTACACATCGCCACTCATGGACAAAGGCGTGGTGCTGACCACCCACCCCCTCGTGTGTCGTGCCGACCTTAACAGGTGCTCGCTAACAGCACGTGCCCAAACAGTCTGCTGACGCTGTTGATACTTGCCTTAGTATAGTTTTATCAACTTGACTAAACCGTCTGTCTCTCTATATTTATGTAACAGTGGATCAAAACCTTTGCGGACACGCTTTACGTTTTGTACAATTACTCCGGGTTTCATTTCAGCCGGAGCTGTCCAGAGCTGAAGTCCGTGAAAAGATTCAACGAGAAAATGAACC